TATATTTATATTTATATTTATATTTATATTTATATTTATATTTATATTTATATTTATATTTATATTTATATTTATATGCAATTTTTTTAAATGCTTTAAATGTTCATAATAAATTAAATGCTCATAATAAATTAACTTGCTGTTAGATCAAGTCGATTATAAAAGCTAGTAGAAAAGCACCAAGATATGTAATTCGGTACTTTGGACTTTCAAGAAATCCAATTACCAATAACTATATTATCGTCATGGAGTACGCTAACCCAGGGAACCTTCATAAATACCTTGTAAATAACTACGTCACCTTAACTTGGGAGAAGAAATTAGAAATACTTAATTCTATTGCAAGCGGGTTACGACAACTACACACGGCAGGTCTAGTGCATGGCGCTTTGCATAGTGGAAATTTATTAGTAAAACAAGATGATAAACCAAGTGATCAACATTATTACTTTAGTGATCTTGGTTTCTCTAGGTTAACAAATATTAAAGAAGATATGATTCAAGTGTACGGTGTTCTTCCATATATGGCTCCAGAAACTATATGTGGAGGAACATATACTAAGGCCGCGGACATTTACAGTTTTGGTATGCTCATGTGGTTATTATCTGCAGGAATGCAACCTTTCGCAGATAGGGAACATGATGAAAATTTAGCAATTGACATTTGTGATGGTGTTCAGCCGCGTATAAGCGAAAGTATACCAACTCAATATGCACAACTTATGAAACGATGTCTGGAATTTAATCCTGACAAACGACCAACTGCTGAGGAATTGCGTTGTAAAACGACCTCTGATTGGTATAACAAACATTATTATCCATTTAAGTTTGAAGTACAAGATAAAGGCTTAGGACTTTTTGATGAAATAAATTCAAATGCTATATACACAAGCAATCTATTTAAACTTACAGTTTCTAGAATGCGATTAACTATAGCAGGTAATAATAATTAATCTGTTCATTATTCTAAAAACTTATTTTAAAATTTTAAACTTATTTTAAAATATTTGTAATATTTTCTAGCGAACGCGCCAGACGCATTGGGTGTAGAACCATTAGAAATTATTAAAGGTACGCATGTCAATACTTATACTTTTAATCACGGCGATTTATAATATTGAAATATTTATACAAAACACAGCCTATAATACGAAAAAAATTGGATTCGAAATAAATGAAAATGTTTTTCAAAGAGGTATGCAAGATTAAATAAATGAACAAATTAAGGCGTTTTATTTTAAATATTTAATTGATTTTTTAAGTTTTTAATATTATTTACATTAAACAGTGGTTTCTTTGGACATCAACAATTTTATTCAACGAATTGAATATGCGGAATCAAAACCCGTAGAGATATCTGAAGAACCAACACTATTACATAGTACATTATCTGAATCAATACCCATATCATCTTTAAATTTTGAAAATGAGATTATTTTTTGTTTATATTGAGCTTTTAATATTTGACTTTGTAGTAATGAGTTTTGTACAAAATTCAATTTATTTAAGATTGCATTTAAGTATAATAAGTGTACATACATTATGCTGCACGAATACACGGTTCTATAGTATTAATATTAAATAACTAATTCCTGATATATAGTCAATTTTAGAACTATTGTAATTCGAAATTTTAATAGTGAAAAAAATGATAAATAAATTTTATTTTTTTAATAGAATATTATGAAAAATAATCTTGCTACATATATTACAAGTATTATTTTATTTTTTAAACACTGATCTTTTACTTTATCTCGATAAGACACAATCGTCAAATTAAAAAATAACTGTCGTTGAAATAACCTTGCTTTACCAACCGTATACTTTGACCTTTTTGATAATGATTATAATACTGTAAGTAACCGGAATCAATATACATATCCAAGTAAAACGTGTAAAAAACATTTCTTAGCAAATCATATCAAGTTATAGTGACAAAAAATTAATCGGTTCTCATTCTCTTTATTCCCTGCATAATTATTTTGCATCTTATTTTGTATTTACCATATTGAGACTTCTAATACGACGCTTTGATCATCCAGAATTTCGTAATAAAGATAATATTAAAATTCTTCTCCATTATTTTAGATGAATAATCTGCATTCTGAGACAAAGAATCACACTAAGTTTTTTATAAAATTTTTACCTTCAGAGAGAATTTTGATGTTAACCAATTTAAATTTTATAGGCCGAACGGTTTGTAATTTGGACTGGACAAAAATATGGACTATACCTAAATCTGCTCAAAAATATGAGCATGGTCCAAATAATAATATTGAAGCAAAGTATTGTAGAATTCGCTTATTAATTCTATAATTCTCTGTTTCGATTCATAATTTCTTCTAACCATTTAAAATCTTAAACGTAGTGTTTCAGACGAAGCTATTACAAAACCTGAAACGTTTCACCACGTATGTGTATATTAATTTTAAAATAAGTTACGTATAAAATTACAAATCGAATATATTAAGTAAATTATTACTAAATATATATTATATATATATATACAGTATACGTATACGTAAATATATATATATTTTAAGGTTAATACTGAATGGTATTAGACCCATACCCGGTTATCCGGGTTACCCGCGCGGGTAGGACATATAACGGTAAAAACTATGTTAACCAGTCAGATTCTGCAAGATTATACATTGATTTTCCTATTACCTGGATTTTTTTTATTAAAATTGTCTATTCTTTTTAAGACACAGATTTCACCGATGATCATTTCATATAACTTATTTCACTGACAAATTAAATTTATTTCATTAGTTTATTTATTCTACCAATAGTTCTTAGTTTATTTCAGCTCATCACTAGAGATGGGCAAGGTTATAATATACCATACATCGTGGATTAAAATACCTTTACAAATTATATATAGGGATTATAGTCGGAGAAATAATACAGTTAGCATAGGAGATATACTGTATGTTGCACTATATAATTGTCGCCAAGAGAAAACCTGTCATTGGACTTTTAATTATAACTATCGATTTAATCCTCTAAAAGTTGTGAGGGGTATTATAAAAGGGGGTCTTTTGGTCCACGCTTGTACGATACAATACTTTTTTTTTTTTTTTTTTTTTTATCCAGTACTACACTTAAATATTAGTACCAATTATTATAAAGTTGCACTAACCTTAACTTTAGTTTTAAACTAAAATTGTCTATGAAATGAGCTGTGAGTAGAGATCGAACCTGCTACTATAATTCGACTTTAAATTTGGATTAAAAAGCTTTTAATAGTAAATCAGTTTGATAGTAGCCCGATTTTAATACCGGTTTATAATATTCTAATTCAATTTTATTTTCAATTTTATTTTTAACTAATTAGAATTCTCGCTGATAAACCAATATAACAAAAAACTATGCATTTCAACCGAAAATCCAAATCAGGTTTTGAATTTACAACTATCGCTATCAGCTGTGGGTAAAATAATTAGTTTATGAATTATGAAATAAACTTTCTATGAATTGGCTATCTGTAGAATAAACCTGTCTGTAAACTGATTGCCTGTAAAAATAAACTTGTCTGTAAAATCAGTATAATAAGGTGTCTACAAAGTGATTGTCTACGCCGGAAAAACAAACGCTGCTATTCCGAAATATCCCGAATAGAATGAGTGAACGTAAACCAGATTCAAATGGGAGAAAAGTTTGAAATAATCCGGGAAGGCTTGATTTTTTTGAAAAAGATTTAAATTTTATAAGTTAGAATACCTTGCTGAAAATTATACAACCTTGGACTAGCGTTTTCGGGTAAATAATTTACAATCAGTGAATAAAAATACCAACTCATTTACAAGCCATTCAAAAATATTGTCATATTCAAATTATTTTTAATTATTTTAATGCACATATTTGAAACAATGGGTTGCATGATCAAGTTGGTATTTTATTTCCTGTTTACGATGTATAGTGTATAGGTTACATTGTCAGGTAAGCTATCCCAATCCATTTCTTGCATGCATTAGTCAGTAATTTAGCTCTAATTATCTCAATTAATTACAAAAAAGTGAGTTCGAATGCTTATTTATTTTTCTATTAAAAGAATATTGTGTTACCTACAAAAGTTATGTTTATCGTTGATAGTAGCACAAAAACGCGTATGACGCGTAAGATATAAGAGGTAAAGGTAGTAAACTGTATTGTTCGAAACGCTAGGTTTGGAAGCGCCATCGGTGGGAAATATTTGACGTAAAATGTTGATGAGATTACGGAATATTCATAGTAGTTATTCCGTGGCCAGATCGTATAAAAAGACTTAAGCTAAATTATCCGGATCCCTTAACATTGACTAGGAAAACAACAAAGATGTAAATAATTCGTCAATAAAATTCCGCATCTTGAAATTAAACAAGGCAATTATCAATTGTAAAATTACAGTATTGTAACTGATAATTCTGATCTCATGTGGCGAACTTACGGATATTTTACGTAATGTAAAATTCTCTATAATAACCCATTAACTATTAATTAAAGCTATTCAGGAATAATGAATTTTCTTGTTTCTATTTATTTACAGGATGACACATATCTGCATTTTATAGCAACGACAATGCCTTTTCATTTTACCACATTTGGATTTGCGCAATCAACTCACGTGATGTGGCGAGCAAATATTGTAACGACGGATTATCCGCGTGAAATTAAAAAGTAAATTAAGATTAGAACAGGAGAGGGCATACCATATTTCGCCATGCAAGGTACTTTCCCTGGATTTGTACTCTCTTGATTTTACTCCCCTGGGTTTTTACCGAGTACGTAAGTACATTTCAAGGCTATTTTTGCGGTGTTTTGTAATATACCTGGATACACGATTTATAATAGTATCCATTAAACTCCATTCAAGAGTCCCATTGTATCCATTCACAGCTCATTGAGTTCAATTGCCAACCCTACTCCGATATTGGCTCATTAGAAAAAAATATTAGTTTTTTGAGTCCCATTCATGTAATCATCGACTCCATTGCTAACCTTGCTGGGGGGTATAAATCAAATTTTTATCGTGTGAAATACAAATGCTCGGATACCTTGCATGGCATATATTTTGCAAAAAAAGAAATTTCTTTTCTAGACGGAATTTTAAGCCGCATCTCTTTTTACGCAGCACTTTGTATTATGCACAGTAAGTAATCTATACTAGGAAAATTTTATATACATTCGTGCCGTTATAATCGGAGTAAATGATAAAAGATGAATTCTCATTGATTATATCCATTATATCCATATAAATGACAGCATTGTACCCATTAATGGACAAATGGAAAAGGAGCCGCAGTATCTTTATATATATATAAGTATCATCATCTAACGCTAGCCGAATATAATTGTTTAAAAAAGTTACACGTCATCATCTGCAAAGATATAAATTTTCATTAGTAATTATAGCAGAAGTAAACATGAACGAAATATTTTCAACCGATCTGAATCTAAATGATCAAAACAAGTCATCTTTCTATTCAGAAGATGATATTTCAGCTGAACTAGAACTACCAAAATTACCATACCCACCTGAAATTAAAGCTAGCGAATTGGTCAGGGATTTGCTATTAAAATATGAATCAAAGTCACCAAAAATGTTGAATGAATTTTTTATTTATCGAAAAGCATTTGTTCAAGCATTCAAGAAAGAGAAACTTCGACCAAAGATGACACATGTATCTTCATTGGCATCTGCATCTTGGCATAAGGAGTCATCTGATGTAAAAAATGCATATAGAAAAATTGCTCGTGAAGCTGAGCAATTATATATAAATGAGAGAAAAAAAAGGCAACAATCAAAAACTACTGGTAAAATGCAAACATCAGATTCTGAAATAACATCTACTTCAACTTCACCCGAATCAACTTATGACCCCGTTTCCGGTCCTTCACACAATATGATTGTCAATGTTGCGCCTGAACCATCATTCATTGATGTTAAACCAGATAATTCATTTTTGCATACATCGAATCAAGATAAACTTACGGAATTTTCTAATACATCATCAGCATTCAATGGTTCTTATGGTCCTACTTCATACGAAGACTATCCAGAATTCACAGAGCAAATCATGTATACACAAAATCAACAACCTATGATGCATCATGAAATTAGCAATATAAATTTTGCCTTCCCGATAGTTACGTATAATTCTAATAATTCTGGGACGCAATATCCATATTCTCATGTATCTACTCAACCTTTAAATTCACGCAACGTATTAGATTATAATAACGATGGTAGATCTCTTGGACCATCGGTTAATAGAAACAAATGATCCATCTTGAATAATTAAAACATTAGTTTATACCGATATTGTTATTAAATATATTTCAATAAGTACAGTTAAAATTATTTGTAAATTTATAGATCAAATGATGCAAATGAAGTAATATTAGATGACAACACTTACCATTGAAAAAAGCATTGACGTAAAAATTTGATATTTTAGAATAGACGCATTAAATAGCCACAAAGTATACGTAGTATTTTTTTTTTTAAATATGCAGAGTTTGTTTTTTTTTCATAAGGCTTATTCCTTCTTTTAACATTTGTGTAATGTTTATGTCAAATTAGAAAAATTATGCTTTAGCGTTAGCTTGCTTTGAACCATTTTTTATTAAAATAATTTGGATTGATTAAATATATATATATATATGTTTTTTTAAACTGTCAAAATTACAAAATGTTTAAAATCCATTATATCACACGTCAATAAATAGTTGCATTTACAAATACACAACCAATATTTATATTTGAATCTAAGCGTGTTAATCAGGACTTAGTGAGTTGGAACTCGAGTCAATATGACTCACTACACCTTTTGACAACTCGTTTATATCTAGAAATAGTCAACCCGTTGAGCTGGCTTTAGTCGACTCGACTCAGCTTAGATACCGATACTCTTCTGGTCGAGTCGCCTTAAGTTGTACATTGAATTAAAATTATTAAAATTGTAAAATTTTCAAGATTAAATTTATAACTTTAATATGAACTTGTATATGATTCCTATATCCGGTATTTCAGATATAATAAATTTAATAAATTTCAGAATTAAATTTCTTCATAATAACGAAATCTTGGATCTAGATTCTCGTCACGGTATTTATATAGAATCCAGAAAGCATGCATAACGCCTTGAGTAAGGGTAAATAAATAAATGTATGTAAAAGGTTAAACATTTTAATGAACATGTAATACTTTTTATAGCTTCATTTACCTGGAATGAACCCTATTTATATCGTAAGATGCAAAAAAAAACACAATAATAGGATTAATTTGAACAAAAACAAATATATAGTTAACTAATTATACGATTCAATTTTATAATTTACCTATGAGCGTCAAGATAATATTGATGCTATTGTTTTACAATTTAAAAAAACATCACAAACATTAGATTTCATTAAAGAAAGAACCAATGATCAAAAAAACATCGGTATGTACCAGAAATCCACAGTGCAGCATCCTCGTTTCAAACAAACTCCAACGGGCGGCAGAATAAAAGCGATTACCATTAACAAAATTTCGGACAAACTATATCTGGCCATTTTTTTTTTTTTTTGGAATACGTACGTATGAGAATTTAAATATGAAAGGGTGAATCGATAATGACAAAATAATTTGTGATATCATAATAACAGTATTTTTCAGGTTATATCGTATTGATGATCACATAATGATAATTTAAGATCCTATGGTTTGATATAATACGTATACTCAGGTGTTCAATTGATTATTACCAAGATAATCAATTATAAAAATGCACAAAGATCAAGAAAAAAAAAGGATAGTGTGAAAAATTGGATTCTTTTCTTTCTTGTCCAATCATGGGTTTGTTTGTAGAATTGGCCTTATTGTTTATCTGTCTCTATTTAAAAGAAAATAATATTCGTTTCTTCGAATTTTATTAGAGTCTTCTTCAGCCGACGGTGTTCCTAAAAAATCAGCTAAAAAATCCGTTCCTAAAAAATCAGCTCCTAAAAAATCAGTTCCTAACAAATCAGTTCCTAAAAAATCAATTCCAATGAAAAGAACTGCTTCTCATAGTCCAAAACCTTCTCAAACGACCATGGGTTTGTTTAAATGATTTTTTTTTTAAATAAAAAAAAAAGGAAAAATAATTAAAATAAAATAATAAAATTCATTCATCGAATTCCAAAGAATCTATTCCGACCTACGAGATCGACGAGACCGATAAGCCTCCTAAACGAAGAAGGAAAAAAAGTTCTCGTCCAAGAATCAAGAAATGGAAATCTTCTAAACAACACCCGATCCTCTCTTTTCCTCCTGAATTATTTATTAACATCTTTTATTTCTGCGATCCGCAAACTTTACTTTCTCTTTCAAAAGTTTGTAGACAATTTGCGATGTACTTAAATTCACCTGATTCTTCGATCACTACTAAAATTTGGAAGGATTCAAGAGAAGGATTTTTAAGTGATCTGAAATTGGATCCACCTGAAGGTATGACCGAAAAAGAATATTGCAAATTGTTTGTTGAACGTGGCTGTATGATTTGTAGTCAACCTAGAATCAGAAAAGTATACTGGGCTTTTAGAGTGAGGTAATTTTTATCATTAATTAATAAATAATTATTTATTATTATTATTCGATTCTAAATCTAATAATCATGTCTTAGGTGTTGTGTCAATTGTTTAGATAAAATTACTATTAGGTAAGTAAATGTCATAAATTACAGATTATTTTTGAAATTAATAAACTTACATAATGATTTAAATTTCTTCAAATCTCATCCTTTAAGCGATTATCGAATTGATGGTGAAATGGGTGTCCCATCCTGCGTTTTACTCGGTCTTCCGTACGTCCCACAACAAAAATGGGCCAGGAGAAGAGGGTCATTCATAGTGAAAGCCTATTCAGTGAAACAAATTAAGGAGGCTTACAAGGAATATAAAAAGTTGCCTTCGAAAGAACGTAAAGATTGGTGCCAAAGAATGAAAATTCGAGGGATCGAGACCATGAAAGATGTTACTCAACGTATGAACGATGATAGCCACAAACGAGTGAGACGCATGTATTCATTATATGACTAACATCAGCCATGGGAGAAATGTTAGGAATTGAAATTATTATTTTTTTTCATTATTTCTGTAACAGTATGTATAGCTAGCTCATCAACATTTTTTCAAGCTTGTTGCTATATATTATAGTTTTTTTTTGGTTTTTTTTTTATTGCTATATATTATGGTTTTATTATAATTATTACTATTATTATTATTGCTATATATCATAGTTTTTTTTTTTATTGCTATATATAGTTTTTTTTGCTTTCTTCATGTTTCTGCATATATATTAACTTGTAATACTCATTTTTGTCATATTTGAAATTGTAAATTCGAAATATATATATTATAAATATCTAATCATGCGAATTATAAAATGATATATTGATCAGTGTTTCGGCCGAAACCCAATTTTGCAAATCATTTGCAGATCAAATTGGGCGAACTTATAGGGCGAAACGTTCGGATTTGGAAAATAGTTTCACCCGAAACATTGATATCGATATTACATAAGTAAATAAGTATGCAAAATCTCTTCATTCTAATATGGGCTGCCGTCAATATAAATAAGGCAGATTGACATTTTAAAAAAAATCAATGCCTTAACTTTCACAGCTCATATATTGATTTTAGTATTCAAAAGAAAGCTTAGCCGTAAACTTTCTTTTGACTATTAAATAATTAAGATAGCTTCAAAATCAATCAAGATATGAGCTGTGAAAGTTAAGGCATTGATTTTTTTTAAAATGTCAATCTGCCTTATTTTTATTGACGCAGCCCATATGGTCTCGTTCTAACCTTTTGCGCAACTAGGACGTTAGTCCATTCTAATTATTATAAGTCTTTTGACTTCGCGTGAGACAAATTAATAAATTTAACAGTGATCCCATAATCAAACAAAGAAAAGCCTTTTTTCCTCTTGTGAAACCAAATACCAGCTTGATATCAGTACTTGAATAAGCGACTCAAAACAAATAACCAAAAGCATCAAAAAAGAAGACCATTTCTATTTCTTTTTGGTGGATGCAATAAACGAGACAGGTAGGCCTTACTGTTGTAGCCTTATTGATTTACTGCAATTCTGACACCAGAATTTCGCTTTCTGTAACGATGGCATTTTTATTTCTTATATCTGATATCTTAAATTTTATCTTTTATATTGATACGCGTACGAAATAGAATACCTGGATATTGCGTTGGTGATACGTAATACGTGCGTGCTTCTGTGCGTATGCACGTACATACCTTATTCGACGAAGAGATATTTTTCATCTTGATTATCTTTCATTTTTAGTATGTGACAACCTTATTGCTCGATTCTTCTAGAATTCTACGTAAAAATTTGTACAATACTATATTTCTATTGTGCGGTTGCGTGTCATGTGACTTCGACAATTCAAGTTTCTCGCCTTTCTGTCCAAAAGATTTATAAGGTTTAAGAGGTGAATTTTGACAATAAAGATGATTAAGGTAAAGGAGAATTAGGAGGGTTTAAACAATATAATCATGTAGACGATTAATAGATATTTTATCATAATAAAGGTCGTTTCTGACTCCTGGAGAAAGACGAGTCCTGCTTTGCTTAATACAAAGAGTCTCTTAATATATTAAAGTCTCCTTTATTTCGCTACATTCGCATACAATGTACTGTATATAGTTTACATGGGTGTCACAAGTTGCATTCTCCAATTTCCTACTAGAAACATCAATAAATTCATCGTCGAATTTAACACGCCCATAAACCCTATAAGCTGGTTCAATTACTTCGTGTTTTCACTGTTTATTATTCTTTGAAGGTGAACATGCGTAACAATTTTGTAACTGCCATGGATGTATTCATAAGTTGACCAAAATTTTGTTATAATACAATGATAATAAAAATGGGGCACGAAGAATTTCAATGCTATATTATATGTACTGCTTCAAAGTTTTGTAATATTGACTTTTAGTTAATAAGATCTAAAATATAATGAATTGATGTCTGAAAAAGCTATTGATAAAATATAATTTACTATGTTAGAGAATTTTGCAATAGAAATGGAGGAAACACTTCCATCAATTATCATTACCATTTCTATTACATAATACCTGATACGTATATTCATTTGTATCAAATAAAATAAATTTTAGCTAATTTTTAACTCTCTGCACCAAATAAACCGCCCAAATAGCCACATTCATTTATTTGACATTGCAGCATTGTGGTGCAAATACAACCTGATTTACCTTTCGTACATCAGGATTTATGTGTTACTATGTTTGCAGAAACTTGTAGATGGTATAAATAAAATCTGAGAATGGTAATAAGTTAAAAAGTGATAACTTATTTTTCGACCCTTTTCGCGAAAAATGAATTCAAAATGTTTATTTCTTGGACGAAGATACTATCAGGTTTGAAAGATATATTTTTAAAAAATGTACGTAGGAACATTATTCTGATATATCTTGATTTTTAATTACTTTCATCAAAAAAGTTGGCTCAATCAATCAATCAATCCCGTTTAATTCATCTGAATTTTCGACGATCATTGGCTACAATTACTGATCAATCTAAACTTTCGATTCCTGAACCGAAAGATTGTTCTAAAATAACTCCAAACTATGCAAAATTGGTTGAAAATTTGTCAATTGTTCAAAAAAGAATTTTTGCTGGTCAACCTTTAACTTTAGCTGAAAAAATATTATACGCTCATTTATGGAATCCAAAAGAAATCAATAATATTGTTAAAGGTGAAACTTACCTGCAATTGAAGCCTGGTATGTTTTAATTTGTTCGTTTTGATAGGTTTGATTTTTTTAAAAGTATAAACTTGTATAATTACATTTTGATTACATTATGTGAATAGATAGAGTCGCAATGCAAGATGCGTCATCTCAAACAGTCATTCTTCAATTTATGCTTGCTGGAATGCCAGAAACGGCTGTTCCAACATCTATTCATTGTGACCATTTGATTGAGGCATATGAAGGAGGTGACAAAGACGTGAAGGTTCATATTTGAATTTGGGGGATATCCTTAAAAATATTATTCCATGACTGAAAAATGTCATCGACAATATACCATCAAATTCATAGCCTTTAAGTATTCATTTATCGCTAGTGTCCGTGAATTCGATGTTACATTCGATGTCACTTTTTCAGTCATGTTACAAGGACAATAAATAATCTTATTGGTTTATTTTCGCACGTTAAAGACAGCTGAAGTAACAAGTAAAGAAATATTTGAATTCTTGAAAAGTGCGTCAGAAAAATATGGAATAGAATTTTGGAAGCCAGGAAGTGGAATTATTCATCAAATAGTTTTAGAAAATTATGCTGCCCCTGGTGCCCTTATGATTGGAACTGGTAACTATCTATTTTAATATATTTAAGCTTTATAATTTAAGATAACATACATGACTTTTAATCGATGTTCTATGAATCTCTCATAATTAAATTTAATGTGATTAGATAGTCATACGCCAAATGCTGGTGGTCTTGGAACAATAGCTATAGGAATTGGTGGTGCAGATGCTGTTGATGCCATGGCAGACATTCCATGGGAGCTTAAAGCTCCAAAAATAATTGGTGTAAAATTGACCGGCAAATTGAATGAATGGACAAGTCCTAAAGATATAATATTACATCTGGCTGGAAAATTAACCGTTCGGGTGCATATCATTTTTTTATCATATATTTTTTATAGTTTATTTGCAGTTTTTTAGTGACAAATCTGATTAAATATTTCCGTAATTGTAGGGTGGAACCGGTCATATAATTGAATATTTTGGCACAGGAATTGAAACACTGTCTTGCACAGGAATGGCCACAATATGTAACATGGGAGCTGAAGTATCTATCGCTTCTATCTTGAATATTTTAGTCCAAGTTACATTACTAATACGTATATTTTTTTTAGGTTGGCGCAACTACTTCTGTATTCCCTTTTACATCAAGCATGTACTCATATTTATCTGCGACTAGGCGTCATCCAGTTGCTAAACAAGCTACTTCTTATGCATCATATCTAAAAGCTGATGCCAATGCTCGTTATGATCATATTATTGAAATAAACCTATCGGAACTTGAACCCCATATTAATGGTCCCTTTACTCCTGATTTATCAACACCTCTTAGTAAATTTGCTGACTTTGTTGCAAAAAATGGTTGGAAAGATGAAATAAAAGCGGGACTAATAGGAAGTTGCACTAACAGTAGTTACCAGGTTTTTTTTTACAGATTTTTAATCTTATTTATAATTTGTAGTAATGTCTAGCATATATGAACTAACCATATAAAATACGCGTAGGACATGAGTCGTGTCACTAGCTTGGTAGCACAAGCACTCGATAAAGGTGTACGTCCAAAGAGTGACTTTTTTATTACTCCAGGAAGTGATCAAATTCGTGCGACAATGGAAAGAGATGGGCAAACTGAAATCTTGCAGAAAGTTGGTGGCCGTGTTTTAGCTAATGCTTGTGGGCCTTGTATAGGGCAGGTAACTATATTCTTTTTCTTAGATTTGCATCCATCAAATTTATTTGGACATTGGGATATTTTCAATAGTGGAAAAGAACGGATATTCAGGAGAATGAAGAAAATGCTATCTTAACTTCATTCAATCGTAACTTTAAAAATAGAAATGATGGAAATCCAGCAACAATGAACTTTTTGGCGTCTCCAGAGGTAAGCCTTTTGACTATAAACCCTGCAACTAATAAATTAATTTCATCCTTGATAAATATACATATATATAGATTGTGACAGCCATGACATTTGCAGGTAGATTAACATTCAATCCGATAACAGACACATTAGTAGACAAAGATGGTAAAGCATTTCAATTTTCAAGTCCATCCGGTGACGAATTACCAAAACATGGATTTGAAAGAGGTAACATATGGCATAAATACATTTGATATTTTATTTTTAAAGCAATTCGTTTTATAATGATTTTTTATAGGGAGAGAATTTTATGAGCCATCACAGGTTTCAGCAGGCAATCCATCAATGCAAATTATAATCCCTCCGGATTCAAATCGACTTCAATTATTAGAACCATTTCCAATATGGCATGGTAGTGAATTTCATGAATTACGCGTTTTAGTCAAAGTAAAAGGCAAATGTACAACGGATCATATATCTGCAGCTGGACCTTGGTTGAAATTCAAAGGACACCTAGAAAATATTGCAAACAATACTTTGATTGGTGCATTGAATGCCGATAATGAAAAAGTTAATGTAGTAAGAAATATTTTGACTGAAAAGGTACTTGATAAACGCGTGTATTTATTTAGATAGGATCTAGATAGATTTTAATCCTTTTATTTTCAGGATGGAACCATACCAGAAGTTGCACGTTATTATAAAGAAAATAACATTCAATGGATCGTTGTAGCTGATGTATGTATGATCTTTCAAAAACAAAACCTATTAATTGTTTATTTTTATTTAATTTAATTTATTTTACCAATACATATGAAGCATAATTATGGTGAAGGATCGGCCAGAGAACATGCAGCATTACAAGTTCGCTATTTAGGTTGCCCAATAATCATTGCAAGGTCATTTGCAAGAATTCATGAAACAAATTTAAAGAAACAGGGGGTTTTGCCATTAATATTTAAAAATGAAGATGATTATAATTTATTATCTGGCGGTGATACAATCTCTACAATTGGTGTTGTAGGATTAGAACCAGGTAAAGATGTAACGATCAGAGTCAGAAAAGAAAAAAATGGTGATAAGAAAAAGATCGAAGAATTTGATATTTTAACAAAACACACAATGTCGGAAAATCAGATTGAATGGTTCATTATGGGAAGTGCTTTAAATCTTATTGCTAATAAGCATAAATCTGGTAGTATTTGACAGTTTTAAACGTCGAATAGAGAAATTTTGATTTTATTGTCTTGACATGTTGGAATAGATTATTTGTGCATATTTATATTTTTATCATTGCAGAATTATTGCAGAATACAAATAAATTATAAAAAAAAAAAAATAGTATTACGTCCTTAATTCCTCCCGTAATATTTAATTCTATACACGTTACTCTCGTTATAGTGAAGTGATGTTTTCTTTACCGTATAGGCGCGTAATAACGCGCAGAGGCGCGTTATTTCGAGCCCCTGCGCGCTATTTCGGGACTCGCATGCGCGATAATTCGAATCAATTGTGCTAATTTTGAAAAAAATTTCAACTACTTTCTTAAATGATAATCTGGTACACATGGAGGGGCGCGTTATTTTGATACGCGCATGGGCGTTATTTTGAGTCAAATATGGCATTTTTAAAAAAATTGAAATTTCGAAATAACGCCCATGTGCTACGCGTCTATACGGTAAAATTTGGGTAAATTCACTATATCGAAGAGGTTTTTATATAATTTGTCCTTCACTATATTTATATCGAGAGTTCACTATAACGAGAGTAATTTGTAAAAGCAAAATATTTAATGAAAGGTATCTTTATATAACTGATAACGTAACAGCGTTAGAATTTTATTTTACTAATTAAAATATATCATGGCTTAACGGGGTGTCTACTATCATACAATTTACAAACGTAAGACTCGAGTCTTTTATAAAAATTTAATCTATGTTATAATTGTTAGTCGCATGATGACGAAAGACGAAATCTAAATCCTCAAAAGGCAAAAAGTCGAAACCCTTAATTCTTTTGACTAAAAACGAAATCTTAAACTTAAAATGACGAGACCTGATACTCAGAAAGATGAATCCCGCTAAAAAAAAAAAATTGTTATTTTCATTGAATTAACATTCATTATTTATTCAGAGATCAGTATTCATGTATACCAGTGCCAGCAAAAATATTCCAGTTCATTTTTCCTAGACAACGCTAAGGTTGTTATAGACCTACTGTAGTACCATGGAATACCAAAGTTGTAAGATCACAAAGTAACACCAAGCGCCTATTACACAATGTAAATTTTATAAATTTCTGTTTTGTTTATTTTTTAGACACATAATCTTCAATGAGTTCCAACCAGTGCTGGTTCTCAGAGTTCTCATGAGCACTATTATAAATTTGTGAACAGTATAAATTTTTTACTGTTCACTATTAAAAAATTTTTTGAGAACAGTAAAATAATAATATTGTTCTCATAAGTATATAATAATTAGTTACATAATTTCATACCAAACAGAAACTGATAAAATTCTTATCTAATTTTCATAATGAGATTTAATTTGCTATTATAACTACGTACCTATTTAAAGTTACATTATAATTTTTTTTTTTTTTTTTTTAGCAGGCATAAGTGAGAACAATAAACGATCGTTTGAGAACACTTATAGCTATTATACTGTTCTCATGAGAACAGTGTTTGAGTCTGAAATTTCCAACACTGGTTCCAACTCCATTTATTTGTATACTCGTCTTTATTAGTTTTGTCACTCTTTTGCAGTTTCGTCATTTAAGTTTTTAATTGACGAAAGACGAAACTAGGTTTCGCGTTTCATCAGCGCGAAACCTCGAGGTTTCGTCTAACAATTATAATCTATGTACAAAATATATGCTTACCGAGGCTCTCTTAACGTGTTCTTTAAATTGATAACCTTTTCACCTCATCTTAACGTTTCTGAGAATATCCCAACTATTTCAGATGTTTATTAGTTTTCATTAATAAATATTAACTATTAACGTTAAATAAATGTAATGTTGTCAGTAAATTACTAATTAATCAACTTAAAATAAGCTATCCAAGTTCATTAATTTATTTCTTTCACGTTGATTTAGTTAACGGAGCATAAAGATTATTAAGTTACTCAAGTTCTTAGTCAGTGAACGTAAAGTTCGTTAAGCTATTCAGGTTCATTGTGTGTTATGGGTTAACATTAAATGATGACTTATTTAATTCAAACGCTTTATTAAAATAATGATCGTGACGAAAATGAAGTGAACGTTAAGGTTCTATAGTATTATTGTAAATTTGTCATTTCTTTTAGTATTTATACCAATGCGTTTCCATTTCACTATTACATACTGAAATTTATTCTTACACTTTCACGTAATATTTGTGATTATGATATTCTACAATTAAGCTCTCATCGCGTTGTATAGGCCACTAATGTTTATCATTTAACGCATTAATATAGAAAAAATTTATTACGAAGTTTCAGCTTTACGCACATTTGGACACGAATGAAGTATCGCCCAAAAATCAGCTATGCTTGCAAAATTTATTTATATTTCGGCAGTTAATTATTATATGGCAATTTTGTAATATTATTTTATTATAATATTCATTATCTTACATACTTTTGCTTTTGTTTCTTTTTACTTGAGCAATGTTAAAACCGAAGCTTGAAGAAAATGCGATGTAGAAAATATTACAATTGCGATTTACAATGATACATTTGAAGATGAGAAAGACGAATACCAGGGAAGAAGAGGTCGCAATTGAATTTAAATATATCAGATATGTACTACAAGTTTCATAATAGTGAAACGACGAGTGAAGCTTTTTATAAAATTTTACATATACTTACTTCATAGTTAAGATAAAATTAACACGGAAATAAATAATTTTTTCTAAAATAGATCAAATTCCTATAATTTTAATAAGCCATCCTCGAGTATAGCATAAAAAGAGTAGCATTTAATTTTATTACAAAAGAAATGATACATTATTATACAAAAAATGATTTAAATACAATGTATATAATGTTATATATTTATAAATTATATTGTTACAAGTTAAATTCTAATTAATGTCAAATTTCATTATCGCTATCACTAGAATTATTAATTTCACTATCACTATCTTCTTCACTATCGCTTTCATTTAATACAAAGAACGATCTAGTTCTCGATAGTTTTGTTTTCCTTCTAATTAAATAATTCATCATAAATACACGTTCTTTCACATTTCTCCTAATTTTTCCAAGTAATGTATTATATTCATGATAATCATCAATAATTTTTCCTCTTGTTATCCTCCATTTTCTCGGTACTACTTCAACTTCGCCATTTTTTCTTTTAGAACTGGATTGCCGTGTGAATACGACATTATTTAAATATAAATAAATCCTATTTAAAACTCCACTATGTAAGAACCCATTTCGACCTTCATTTTTCCAAATTCCACGATTTTTCAAAAATTTTTCCAATTCTAATCTAGTCATCGGTCTGTAACATAAACTGGTTCTATATGCTGGTGAAAAATCTTGAACATATTTTCTTAATTCTTCTATCTCTTGATTATTTTTTCGCCAGAGATCTTCCCAAAATAAGTACCACCATTGATGAGCTCTCGATAAATTCACTATTCTCATTCTTTCATATAAATAAATGAGTGTTGGATAATCGGTCACTGGTATTTCTTGAACTTTTGGATTTGTTTCAGTGGTCATTAACAAGGTAGGTAAAGTTTCCAATGGTATCGAAGGATTGTCATATATATTTATAAAGAATCCATATGATAAAGTTTCTTCTTTTTGAATGGCTTCATCCCTATAATACTTTCTATATTTTTGCATTATCGACTGAATCTGATCCAAACCTTTAGACACGATTTCATAGTTATCAGTAAACAATCGTTCAAGTTGTGGTGTCATCTGAAAATCATGTGTGATTCCGATAATATCATGACCAACTGTTCGTTCATGGTCAGGGCTAGGATTAAATTCGTTTGTATACATGATGGCAACTTCGAATCCGGAATTCATATTATGACCATTCCATGTTGATAGTTGATTACGTCTGATTTGAAGAAGTCCTCGGTGATAATGCACTTCTGAATTTGATGATGCGCCAAAGAATTTCTATTTTATAAAATAATTAATTTTCGTTTAATTTTCACGGATATGTAAATTTGTCCGAAAAAGTAATATGAACGTACCTTTTGAACTTTATTGTACCCTTCAAAGTTATTATTTTTGTCTCCCTTATTACGACAAGGACCAATGACAACCTTTTCCTCCAAAGCTCTAATCATCTGCCTAACCAATTTCCTTCGCCTCACTTCTTTATTTTCATTCTGATCCACGTATCGTTGAATCTCCCATTCCTGTGTTAATACTACTACACTTTCATCTTCATCATAACACATTACTACACTAAACGGAAATGGCACTACATATGCTTTACCGAAACATGTTTTTATCTTAATGTTTAAAAATTCCGGTGCATAATACATATCTGGTCCTACATAATTATTCAATATTCTTGTTCTTAATGCTACTAAAGAACTAGGTAAAGGAGATAATGATGCAGTATAACGTCTTATTCCAATTTGCCTTATAATTTTAAGGTTCTCAACATGTCGTTCTGCTACACTGCCCATAAAATTTAATAAATATGGAGGTCGATATGGTGATTGAGAATATGCTACAATCTTATCTTTTTCCATTTTAAATCTTTCAGATGTTAAAAATAAAGTAGTCCAAGTTTCTTGCCATATACGTCGTTTAATATGTTTCTGAAAATCTAAATTAGGTGAATATATATTGATACTAAAATCTAATCGTTTCTTTATTTTTTTTTACGAAATTTTGATAAGGTTGTGTATCTTTAAGTATATACCATACCATTGCTATTCCAACAATACAATTAATAACTATGATACTTATAGAGATTCCCTGATATGGACCAACTTTTAATACTACAATCATTCCGAGAATTACAGTGATCACATAACCAGATCGTGTCCAATATTCACTAGCATTTTGTGTAGCAATGATATAGGGTTCGTTTCGCCAGTGGATAAAAAATAATAAGACCATGAGAACAATTTGTAAACCTTGACGAATTGATTCTATACGAGTTCGTGGTGTGTTTCGGAATATACAATTATCTTTGGATATTAATGAAACTAAAAGTATATGAAAAAACTTGTTGGCCATTATAAATGATTTATAGGCTACCCATTTTTCGGTATATGCTACATACATATAAATTGAAACAATTAGTTTATAAGTATAATTATTATAATTTACAATAAAAAATTATGGCCAATTCTATTTTGACCCGGGTTAAAGTGACCCATCATGTGATCATATGACCAAGAATTTTCAAAACTTTAGCGAAGATATCTCGATAACCCATCAAACCAATTTCAATAAATCTTTTTTTTATTGAATTCTATGGATTCATAAAATTCAAATAAAAAAGTTTCATCAAATTTGTCAGATAATTATCGAGAAACCTTCGCTCAAAGTTAAAGAAAAATCAAAACGCCTATAAAATAGAAGTTGCACCAAATTTTTCTTTAACTTTTATCGAAGATATTTCGACAACCATCAAACCAAAATTGATAAAATTTTTTTGTTTGAATTCTATGGATTCATAGAATTCTAATAAAAAAAATTTCATAGAATTAGTCAAGTATTTGCCGATATATCTTCGCTCAAATTTAGAAACGCTTATCAAAATAGAAGCTGCACTAAATTCTTTTTAAAGCTTTGATCGAAAATAACTTGACAACCATCAAACTAAATTCGATAAAACTTTTTTATTTGAATTTATGAATTCATAGAATTTGAATAAAAAATTTTCATCGAATTTAGTCAGACGGTTGTCGAGATATCTTTGCTCAAAGTTAGAAAAAAATCAAAATACCATATTCTTTTAAAACTTTGGACGAAGATATCTTGACAACCATCAAACCATTTCGTTAAACTTTGTATTGGAATTTTTTGGGTTCATAGAATTTGAATAAAAAAATTTTCATCGAATTTAATCAGGTGGTTGTCGAGATATATTCACTCAAAGTTAGAGAGAAGTCAAAAACGCCTATCAAAATAGAAGCTATGCCAAAATTTTCTCTAGTTTGAACAAAGATATCTCGACAACCACTTGACTAAATTCGATGAAAATTTTTTTATTCAAAAATTTTATGAATCCAAAAAATTCAAATAAAAAAAGTTTTATCGAATTTGGTTTGGTAGGTGTCAAGATATCTTCGTTCAAAATTAGAGAATAATTTGGCGCATCTTTTATTTTGTTAAGAAGTTTTGATTTTTCTTTAACTTTGAGCGAAGATATCTCGATAACTACCTAACTAAATTCGATGGAATTTTTTTTATTCGAATTCTATGAATCAATAGGATTTAAATAAAAAAAGGTTTATCGAATTTTATTTGAGATACTTTCGCTCAAATTTTGAAAATTCTTAGGTATATGATCATGTGATGGGTCACTTTGACCCGGGTCAAAATAGAATTAACCAAAAATTATTATTAGCGACATACCGTTATACAAAAAATTATAAGGACAGGTATCCTTCTCCAATAATTTTCTATATTCACCATTTATATCTGCAACACTTTCACCAACTTCATTGTATTCATCAACCTTAGGAGCATTCTTATCCACCAACTTTTTCAAAGCAAAGGGAAACCAAAAAGTCAATAGTACAAGTGTTACCAATGCAACCCCTATAATTACTGGTGAAAAATTTAAATCACCTTCTCTCATACTAGTAACATAACAAAAATCATTAGGATTTCTATTGTCTGTCATATTATTATAGTAACTAAAATCTGGTGTATCACTATAAATATATGGATTCGGTATTGCCCAGAATGTATCACCCCATACTAAAGCGTCAATTGAAAGTTTTGATATTGGAAGATAAAGAGTGGTTAACAAGAACGTTATTATTATATTTTGCCGGCGTTTTGTTTCTGGACGTAGATTCCATGGCGATGATTCAAGTCCCTAAAAATATATATATATATATATTTATGTGTAAATTTTTAAGTGTTAATTTGCATTAATATCAAATATACATATTTTTTAACACACCTCAACATCAGCGTTAGGATCCCATTTAGTCATCATTCTAAACCAATACAAAGCTCCAAATGCAATAACACAAAATACCAAAAAGAATGCTATTGCATTTCCAAATACACGATCCAAATTTAAACTAAATAAGTTTGGAATTGTATCCAATAATATCTTTACCCAACTTTGAAATATTCCAGGATTTTCAAATGATAGTACAAGTGTTAAAAATTGTATAAAGTCTCTTATAATTTCTAATATAGTCAATTTATCAGGTGAAGTTTCAATTCCAATTACTCCTTCTACAGCAAGTACGCCATCAATAGCAGCATCCAACCAATCATTTCGTCTTCCTTGTGTCATTTGAATACCAAGAAATGTTGACGGTTTTTTAAGCATATTATTCTCGAGATCTTCTAGAGAAATACCATCAGGAATTTGATGTATTGGTGGAAATATTAATTCCGAGTGTTTAACAGATTTACAATCTTTCACAAACTTTTCATATTCTTCTTTAGTCATTAAATCTTTAGGATCAGAAAATTCGGTAGGTGGTAAACTTTTAATATATTCATCTAAATAAGATAACTGTATCCATGGAGCTCCAGGTTTGAATAAATCACTTGATTCTGATTTATCAAATATATTAATACTAAATTTTGTTACTTTTGATGGATTTAAGTCGGTATCATTTTTAAATTCCACATTATTAACATTTGCATCCTTCTTTCCAATGGAATCTTTCGTCACAACATTAACTCGAGTGAAATCTGGTACGGTCACATTATTTTTTCGGAATGCCCTATTGAATTTGGAATGTCTTGTACGTGCTGTAAGATCTGGTACTGAACGATTATTTTTTCTATATTCCACTGATGCAAGACTATGTGGTACCATAAATGACATTTTACTTTTAGATGAAGTGTATTCTGGTAAATTATGATCTTCGGAACGTTTCGTTTTAATATGTTTAAGAAAAGGATTTTTCTTTAATGTGCTAATTGGTGATAAAGTGTTCCGTTGTGGTCGTACAGAATTATAAGGAGATTTTGGAATTTGTACAGGTTTTAATGTTTTTTGTTTTGTTCGTCCTGTTGATACCGATCTTAAATCATCGGATGGAGCATATGTATGAAAATTTCCTGAATCTCTAAGAGTAACAGTTAATGTATTTGGTAGTTTATTTGTTGATTTTGATTTCTTGGAACTTGAATAAGAAGTTGATAAAAATTTTCGTGAAGTATTATTTGATTTTACAGGTAATTCCAGTTGATTTCTCTTCTTAGAACTTGTATTACCATTCATTGTATGTGCTTCTTGCATTTCCATTATATAAGTCGAACTATCTTGAATTGATGGTAATGTTTTCTTTTTATTTCCTGATTTTTGACCAACCACTTTATACAAGAATGGATTATTTGATTTTTTCTCTCCAATTTTCGGATCAAATTGTTGGTTTACGTTAGAATTAAAATCATTTTCTGTTAATTCGGATGAATTAAGATTAAAGCTATTAGATGACGAATCACCTTGAAATTTCCAAGGATTTGTATCATTAGCCAAAGATATATTAATAGTTGGTAATGTGTAATTATTTGAAGTTGGATCAGATAAACCGCGCTTTAATGAAGAGGCTAATGTAGATTCTTTATAATTTGATGAATGCTGAGCTTTTGGTAATGGATCAAGTTCCAGTACATCAAAATTTAAAGGTGATATTTGAGGAGTAAATAAATTTGAATCTTCATTCTCATTTTTTGTGGTACATATTGGAACTTTTTTTCGAATTGGAGAGATTGAATCTCTTTTGGATTGAATAGGAATTGTTTTTCTCCTATGTGAAATTACAGTAGTTTGAGAAACTATAGAAGGTGATTTTGGCAATTCAGGTAACTTCTTTTCAAGCGACGATTCAGGTAAATTATTAATAAAGGAGTCGGCATCTAATAATGTATCATTAATAGCTATTTTAACGGGAATTTCATTCACGGGTGATTTATGTGTTGTTTCTGAAATTTTTTGTTGAATCGGAGATGTTTGTTTTAGCGGCACAGGAGTTGTTATTAGTAGAGGACTTGGCATAAAACGATCTTTCTTAACAGCTTTTATCGGTGATGATGACGATATATTAAGCGGGTCCGTCGGAGTTATTATATTTGAGGTTGATATATTATATGACTCTGGATCGCTCTGCGTCATCGATGTAGTAGCATTTATATTAGTGTACAAGCTATTATTGTTACTATTATTATTATTACTATTATTATTATGATTATTATTATCATTATTATTATTATCGATAATAGAAGTTGTGAGTGACAAAGCTGTCAGAGGTGTTGTTGGTAACAAATTTATTTGTTCCGGAGTTGTGATTAATCGTTTCGTCGGTGATAAAGTAGGAGAAGTAGTAGGAAAGGTAGGAGAAGTAGGAGAAGTAGGAGAAGTAGGGGGGGAAGTAACATTTTCAAATCTAGATACTAAATTTGATACTTTTTTCTCTCGTGGCATTGACGTGTGTTGAATTGGTTTTGGATTAAACGGTTTATTGAGAAAAGAAATATCTTTTGGTGGAATAGATTTTTTTCGTGAAACCATATTCATAGTGGTATTTTGTGGCAAAGAATCCCAATCCATTCTCCCTCGATCATTTTGATTTTGAATAGTTTTTATGCCAACTATCGAAAGACTACTATCTTTTACAAAGTCTATGTTTGGTGGACTATTATTGGGATTATTATTATCAGTATTTCCATTTTCATTATCTGCAAAATTCGAGCGTTCTTCAACTACAATAGGTACAGAAGGAGAAATATTTGTTAAACTCGAATTGGAATGACTATTATTATTGATCCATGATCTCGAAGGTAATTGTTCAGAATATTTTTGTGATGAAATTTGTTCTGTAGTTTTCTCTTTTTGATGAGTAGACCAAAAACTTATTAAATCGTTAACCGGTTTTGCAGTTGGTTTTTTAGACATTATCGATTATCGTTATCGTAACTTAAATGTTTATTATATAGTTGTTATCGTTATCGTTATGTTTTCGTTACATTAAACATTTCTCTTTAACAATCCGAGTTTATCAATCGTTCAAAAAGAAAATCATGAATAGAATAAAATATCATAAAACCATGATTAAAAGGAAAAAAGGAATTACTATTAAAAAAAATTATGAATTTTTTACTTAGTAAAAAAATGATATTTAAAATTGATAAATGATATCAATGTTTGAAAAATAATTAACGGTTGCTTTTTTTGGATATCAAAGATTTACTGCAAAATCGATTAATGATGATAATAACTCCTTTTTCTTTAAACAATTAAAACTCTTTTCATCATAAAAAAAAACTATTGGATTGTTTATTTTATTCAGAGAGCAAATTGGTATAATAAACGGAGTAAGTATAACTGAATAGAAGAAAAAAATAATACGTACGTACGCTTACGCATATATACTTTTCATGTAATTACCCCCTGAACACAAAATCCCTTATTTTTTTATAATTTTCATCTTCTAGGTAGAACACGTGACGTAATGTTGCATCCGTTTACGTATTTTTCGGATTTACCAAATGACGCCAATGGCGTTTAACATCATAATTAAAAATTGGTCAAACTGAAATTTAATTTCTAAGTGCTTAGCGTTAAGGAACTCTCTAGTAAAATGCTTATAACCTCCCTAACCTTATTCCTAGCATCTAACCTTACATCAAAATCATAGCAAAATTTATATGAAAGTATAAGCACATTGGTGTGATTTAGTACTACCATTATATTTTTATCTCATTGTGTCATTGCATTGTTACGTTTAATCACATGCTCATAATAGATAGACCCAAAACGAAAGTTCATTAAATGAATAATCGCGAATGCTGAAATGCTGCACGTATTTTAATACTATCATATGTATGTTTTTGATAATAACAAAAACATTTGATGGTATTTTAATAATGTATGGAAGAAAAAGTGTGTAAATTTTTAGGTGAACATTTTTATTAGATAAAATGCCGGACTCAATTGCGCAAAAAAAAAAAAAATCATTATTAGTCAACGATAAATAAACCAGTACTGTAAAATCAAAAACACAAAAACTTGGGAAGATGAGCGTCTGTAAATATTTATTAATAACAACTATATATAATATCAATAAGGAAAACAAGTGAAGATACAATTAACTCTCTATAACAAGTTAATAATTCCAAAATACTTTCAATTTAGTAAGCTTGGTAACTGTCACATCTTCATAAAAACTAAGCTTACCATTTAAGATATATAATATTGTGATTATAAAAAAAATAATGTCTAATATACCGCGTAGAATTTACAATTTTATAATGCTGATATTCAATTTCTATCGAATTCTTGGATCTAGCGATGAAATTTAAGGTTAATTAAAATCGAAGTGAAAAAAAACCTTTATCACACAGTACAGTACATGCGCATAAACATTTTTAAAATTTGACGGCCGTTATTGAGTCCTTTTATCTTATTTCCATGCTCTCTATGTTTATACAAAGTACACATTGTAGCTGAGCATTTAATATAAATGTGTGTTATGTGTTCAATATTAATAATATTAGCCGAAATACCTCTCAAACTTATCTTAAATATATTTTATCTGGGCAGATGATTTATATCTCCTCATATCATATGAATTTTGTGTCGCTACGTACCTGCAACTTAATGATTTAATTAATTTAATTTCTATTGCATTATTATTATAAATTTTTGTTTAATGCAATAAATAATAGAAATGTCAAGTTTTTTGAGCCTTTGGATAAACAAGTTAACTTGAAATATTTTTTTTGTCATTTTAAAGAGGTCACATTGAAAAAGAAAGTTAATTGAAAAGATTGATAGTTCGGTGAAGAGAAGATTATAACATTAATTGAACAGATTGATATACGAATAAAGAAAGGTGATGTTTATTTTTCCAGTTGTTTATGGAATTCTGTTTTGCCGGCTCAAGTCTCTATACAATTTATCCATTTCAGCATTTCAAGGTATATATTTTATTTACCTATTTTATATATATTAATGCATTAGTAAGACTATGCATACTTAGATATAAATATAAATTTATTTATTTTTGATTACAGCAATTTCGGCACTATGGATTTGCCGAAAGGATTTCATAGTGTAAAAGTATTTTTAGTAAAAAAAAAAAAAAAGCTTTAATCGAGTCTAAAGATTAATGTTTTTTAAAATAAATTATTCCAACTCATATAACTCAGCAATAATTTTATTTTGTTTTTTTTTCACGTTAATTTATTCGAAAAATATTTATGAACATACTGTACTAGTTTAGGATGATATGGTCATTTGATCAAAACTCAGATGACCAGTCATCAGTCATTACGTCATTATCACATGCAATAATCTTTATTAGTCAAATAGCTCATATATCAAATTGCACCAAGTAAATCGGATTTATGCATTAAGCAAAATTATTCGTAGTAAAGTTAAGTTTGTTTTTGGACTATCCTATAAATCCTGAGCTCATTTTCGGGTGCCCTAAATTTCTAAAATAAATCTTAAATTCCGTAAATTAAAATAACGGGTATAAACCAACGATGTTATTGATTAAATGTCATGTGATTTAGCAGCCATGACTTTCGGATGCGATTGATACAATGTGATCATATTTTCGGAGCAGTCCTAAAATTGTCCGTCCGAAAGTCCTAAAGTCCGAAAATACTCCCTTGTCAACCTTGGTTCACAGTGACAATTTATGTACACTATAAAATTTTCATGACCTTTGATTAATGCGTTTTGATACGTATTCGAAAAAAGTTTTAAGTTCCTTCCTTAATAGGTACTGTACGTATGTACGTGAGTCAAAACGCATTAATCAAGGTCATTCAAATTAATTAAAATTTTATAGTATACGTAAATTGTCACTGCTAATCTTGACTTTAATATAGCGACGTTATAAATTGTATATATAGCATTTTATAAAAATTAACTATTCAGTTTTCATATGATTAAACCGGGGTTAATCGGGTTTAATAAAGAAAAATAAAACCGATTCCAAATTCTAGACTCAGACTAGTGTTTCGATCCTAATTTTTAAGGTCCATTCGGATCCTCTTTGGTGTATCCGAATAACAATCCGAATTTTGGTAAATCCGATTTCAATTATTAAATCCGGGTTCTATCTATGGTTTACATGTTTTATTAGATTACCCGTAGCTTTGCTAAGGCTATTTTATGTGTAAGTGATTCCAAATAATCTTTATTTAATAGAAATTACCTTTAATTGCATGATTAGAATTAAATGTTTAAACGCTTAAGAGCTCCTACGGGGTTTTGTTTGGCATCTTGGATTTAATATTCGAATTAATCATTTTGTTAATACACTGTATATCCATTATACTAAGTAATAATTCTTATATTTTTTTTTAATAACAATTAGATTATTATTTAGTTTTAGCAGATGAATATAAATATTTTTTTATTAATCCGAGCAATTAATATCAACAACTAAATTCATAAATAGTTATTATAAATACCTTCGCGTTTATCATTAGCATAAGTTCATTATTAATTAACAGGGTTGATATAATATGAGGAAATTTTTTATTATAACCAGGTGAACATTATTTACTGATCAATATATTTGATAATTTGATAAAATATAAAGCATGAACGCAGCATAATAGTGCGACGCAATGATTTTCCTTTCATTAAGTTTCAACATTTACGTCTTTCTCAACCCAGCTCTAACTAACGTACTTAACATCGAAGTCTATCAGCTGCGACCAATCATAAAGATTTCTAGGATTATTTTTATCCATAATCCATTATAAATTAGGATCCATCCGTTAAAAATTAACAGATACGGATATCCGCATTTAATCCGAATTATCAGATCCATTCGAATTGGTCGGATTATGAGGTAGTAAGTAAAGTAGTACGGTACAGTAATACAAGTTAGTACAGACGTATATAAATTTTAATAGTACGTACGCTTATATAATATAAATTTTTTCGTACAAGTACACTTGAAGATTTTGTGCGTACATACTTTTTTATCATAACAAACATAAATATATGTAATGTTGAAATAATTATTACCACATTTTTAGCATTTAAAATTTACTTTAGCATTACCGCTACAAA